GTCACCTTGAAACTTATTTAAACTGGGAACTGACATTTGTATTAATTTTGACACTGAATCAATTTGTGGCATTTCAAATCTTTATAAATCCTTTGGCCCCGCATACTGTAAATCAACAACTGTTTGTTTCAAAACAAAATTATTCATTTTACGAGTAGATAAAGGCAATTTTGGTATATAAAGATGCCCAAACAGTTAAATAGTCGGTGTAAGGAACTCGTGGCCTCGTTAATGCACTACTTTGAGCAAGAAAGGGACAACAACGGGCCTTTGTTGCCTTTAAATGCTGTTCAAGAGGTAGGTTACTAATAATTATATGTAATGTATATTAATAATAGTGAAATTTTATTTCATTTTTTGTAGCGTGTTGCTGCTGCTTTAAAAATTAGTTTAAGGACAGTTAGTCGTATTTCCGAGGGTGTGAAAAGTGATGCAAATTTAGAATCGCCCAAGAAAAAGCGGAGTTATATTAAACGTGTAACCAACACAGCGACATTGGATACAAGTGCCATTCGAGAAGTGATCTATAATATGTATCACAAAAGTAAGATCTTATTATAATAACTTATCAGAAATTTGCATTAATTTGTTAACTAAATTATAATGTCATATTACACATGGTTTCAGAAGAACAAGTTACGATACAAACTTTATGGTCTCGATTAAGAGATAGGGCATTATTTGATGGTAGTGCCACGTCTTTAAGGCGGTTGCTTAGAGATCTTGGATTTAAGTGGCTTAAGGACAATCCGCGACGAGGGCTCATGGAACTACCAAGTATAGCTATGAAAAGGGTGGAATTTCTAAGGCAATACAATCAAGCCAAGGTTGAGGCCTTATACCAGTTTGTCTTCCTCGATGAAACTTGGATATTTCAAAATGGGACCATAGGTCGCTCTTGGCAAAATGGAAACAAAAAAAGCGTGAAAGCTATTAAAACAGATGGTAAAAGGTATGTACTTTTACACAATTTGCACTATAAAATTTAAAACTAATATATTTTAGATACATTATATTACATGCTGGAAATGAAAATGGGTTTATTGAGGGTAGTGAAGCGATATTTTCTTCGAAAACAAAATTGAGCGATTACCATGGAGAGATGAACCAGGACAATTTTTTGAAATGGTTTCAACATCAGTTATTAGAAAAATTGGAGAGTCCATCTATGATTATACTGGATAACGCCCCTTATCACAGCATTATATTGAACAAAGTGCCCAACAATGCATGGACAAAAAAAAATATCCAAGACTGGTTGACAAATCAAAACATACCATTTTTAAACACAATGTTTAAAACAGAGCTATTGAGTATTGTTGCTCGGTACATAATGCTTCTTAATTATATATATTTTGGTCGACAGTTTATATTTATTTTGTTTATTCCTATTCTTAAAATAACTGCTTTTTTAGAAACAAACCACCTAAAATATACGTGATTGATGAATTGGCGGAACAACATGGGCACAAAGTTCTTCGTCTGCCTCCTTACCATTGTATATTTAACTCTATTGAGTTAATTTGGGGCATAGCAAAAGGTTACTATAACAGACATATTGGTAGAGATGGTAACAGTGAAAAAGACTGTTTGGATATGTGGAACGAGGCTCTACAAACGGTTACCCCAGACATGGGGAAAAATAGTGTTCGACATACTGAGCAAGAAATTTTTAAATGGTATGAAAGAGAACGAATTTTTGATCGACCAGACATCGAACCTTTAATAATCAACTTTGAGAGTGATGAAGATTCAGATTCAGACAGCGCTGAAGAAAGAAACTCCGAGTAACTTTATTGTACAGAAAAAGCTTACACCAGTAGCTTACCTAATTTTAGAATGCATTTTTCTGTATGAATTCTGTAAAATAAATACCATGCATAAAATTTGGAGGACCCCATTTGGATTTTTATTCAGTACCTTTAAGCTATCAATTAAATATGGTAGTTTCATAGTGTCATCTGATCAATAATTGTCATACTTAATGATTATGCAAGTACAGATCTATAATTTTATTATACTATTATTTTTGTTCTCATTTGAGGTTAATATTGCTTATAAACCTAGATATGTAAATAATAAATTTTATTATTTTACAAAAAGTTTGGCAACAATGTAAATTTTTCAACACACCCACCTTGATGACGTGCACGCCACTTTGTTTGGCGTTGACTATATGTTCTAGAACTTGTAGCTAAATTTCGGGAAACTGTGTCAGTCGCCAATAAAAAACGCAACATTGAAATACGGATCGAAGGAATAGAAGTGGGGGTTTTACGGCAAGCTTACGTAGATCCCACGTTAAGTACCCGCGAATTAGAGACTGTGTGTGGTGTTAGTCGACGTATTGTCCAACGGATTCTGAAGGCCCATAGTTTTCATCCGTATAAAATTCACCTGGTACAAGAACTTAATGAAGACGATTTTGATCGGCGATTACAATTTTGTGAAGATATGAGTGAACGAATTATAAACGATGAACATTTTCTATTCAACACTTGCTTTTCCGACGAATGTTCCTTTTTCTTAAATGGCGTAGTAAATCTTCATAACTGCCGATATTGGTCCGATTCTAATCCCAGAATTTATCATGAGGTTCATACACAGCAGCCACAAAAATTAAATGTTTGGGCTGGTATTTTTGGCGATCATTTAGTTGGTCCTTTTTTCTTACCTGGAAATTTGACCGGTGAAATGTACTTGGAATTACTGGAAGACGCCATAGATCCTGCATTAACAGCCATAATTGAAAATCAGAATGATCCGCGGTACATTGCGAATAGGTTGATGTTCCAACAGGACGGTGCCCCACCACATTACGCATTTCGTGTTCGACAATATTCAGATCAGACGTCTCGAGATCGATGGATTGGTAGAAGAGGTGCCATTGAATGTCCCCCAAGATCGCCAGATTTATCACCTTTGGATTTCTTTATGTGTTATCATTTAAAAAGCAAAATCTATGCTACTCAGCCAACATCATTAGAAGACCTGCGACAAAGAATTGTGAATGAGTGCCTTCAAATTACTCCTCAAATATTGCATAATGTGCGGCAACGTTTTGACCAAAATCTTTATTATTGCATGGAGAGTCATGGTGGCCATTTTCAACATTTACTTGCCTAACGGGTCAGTTCATTCTTCATTTTTAAATTACTTTGCTGCCAAATGTATTGATCTCCACTAATGATGATGTATTAGTTTTATTTGAGCTTTAAATCAATAAGTACATTAATTTTATATCATTATAAAGGGAATTGAAAGACCTTCAAAATAAGGTATCACTCGACCCCCATTTACATTTAAGATTTTGGGGGTGGTGTCACCCCCGCTTAGGGGCTTAGGGGGCTGCACGTGCTAACGTGATTTTTTCCCAAACTTGTGTCCCCCTCGAAAACAAAATCGACGGGTCTGAGAGTATTTCAAAAAAAAACTTAGCTGCCAGTAAATGCGTCTGTTTCGTTTTCGATGCGCCACCCTGTATAATAATACAAATGTAATGTGTTTGGGATCACAAGCAAAATCCAAAATAATGAACAATGTACAGAGTGTCCCATTTGAAATATTTATGTCTACTTGCTCAATTCTAACAAAGCTGCAGATTTCCGTGTTTGTTTCGCGTCAGCTTTTCGAGTGATTTATCTTTACAGTTTCTATTTGAATACCCTCTTAACAGAGACATTTCATCAAGTTCAATGATGATTTTTCAGCCGCATTGAGACAGAGCATGCCGAGTGAATGGAACTTCTCACCACCTGAAATGTTCCACGCTATACATGGTGTAGATGTATTAGTCTCTAAGTAAACACAATCATATAGACCAAACAGTATAATGACATGCTAAAGATCGATCAGAAATAGGTCTTTTATTTGCCGAGCCACTAACGCAAAGGACTCCTGTAATGTCTGTTTAAACAAGAAAGCTAATTATTCATTAACTACAACCACCACACACTAGTTTGCTGACATTGTCAAAACAGTGATGGATTCACGATAATGCTATTGGAGCTAAGCCCTTGGTAGGACGAATTATATCCATCAAGGGCTTTTAGTGTTAGTTTATCAATATTGGAGATGCTTAGTTGTGCAGTATCACAGTAATGACAGCAATAAAATGATGTAATGTATAGTGTTTTAAAAAAATAAGTAGGCTCGATGTTGATCAATCATCAATTTCCCTGTGAGTTCTACAAGGTAATGCTTGACGATACCGGTAATCTATTGGTACCCTTTAAGTAACATTAGTAGTAGTAGTCCAGTTGAGTCTGGTGTCAATGGTCATACCTACTAGTACTTAGTTGGGAATGGGTAAATCAAAGGCACAGCTGGCTCGCTATTCTGGTGTAATCGTAAATAATTTTGAAAGTGAGATATGGTTTTTGCTACTTATGTCACTTATTTTCGTCAGCCTGATATACCTTGATCCGTGTAGCTTGGAAAGCATTCGTGGGACTTTGATGAACCTTTGACACAAGATTACATCCAGTGTCGGCAGAATTACAAGGAAGAAATACGATAAAAAAATAGCTCAAACTTCGTTTTTGGCGTTTTAGAGGCTCCTTGTGAGTTTCAGAAAAAAATCTTGTAGGGGCTGGAGATTGCAGGAGGTGTGGGAGGGCATATCTCAATCTTTTGGCGGTAGTATCCTTATGTGCTTCCAAGTCTGGTAAATCAATGCATCTAGTTGCAATTAAAACTTGAATGACAGAAATGACACGAAGATGGATGTATCTGCCTGACTGATGGGTGGTAGACTTAGTGGATGGCAAGACTAGTCATAACAACATTGCCAGATGGTCGGTACTTTCGGTACGCAGGAAGAAATACTATCAGATGTTCGGAACAAACTAGCCAGTGAACAATCCAAGAATAATGAGCTGAGTGAAATCATTGTAAAATTAAAAGAAAAAACAGGAAAACTATCTAATTAGCTTTTGAATAAGGAAAAATCCATTAACCATTTAAAAGATTTGATAAAAAAGTTAAAATCAGAGCCAAAGATGTTATCGGAGTGTGGAATGCAAACTGACACTGTGGACCAGACTCAAGCGCACACGCAGACACCTGATCCACCACCATATAGGAAACCAGCATGCGGAAACAAACCAACTAATGGAAGCTCATCATATACTAACAGTCTTATTCAATGTTCAATCGACTTAACCGATACCAGTGGTCTGGAGAGTGAAGTCGAGTGTCCTGCTGACGAGGTACTGTTGGAGCCTTGTACCGAAGAACCGGCTGCCCTGCCATTACCGGCAGCAACAAATAAAAATAACCCAAACGACCATAGGAAGATACTTGTTTTTGGTGACGAGTAAGCCAGGAACTTCAGAAAAGTTCTAGAACTGTACATTGACAAATCCAGGTTTACCATTGAGTCTTATGTAAAGCCAAATATCGAGTTTGTAATGGCGACCAAGGATATATTCACGAAAACAATACCTTATGGAAAAGACGAGTTTGTAATTTTCATGATTAAGACTCAAAATATCAATAGTTCCTATATTACAAATTGTCTTCTTAATAATGAACTGTAAGCTCATTCTTTATGCTGATGACACCACTCTGATCTCTGCCCACGTTTCTTTTACAAACATCAACAGCGATACGACGGCCAGTATATCTAGCATTCAGAATTGGTTTATAGCTAACAAATTAACATTAAATTCGAACAAATCTCAATCCTTGACAATCACACTTCGAAATAACAATCAGAATGGTGACCATGCAAAGGTTGTGAAGTTTCTTGGTGTCTATATCGACTCCTCCTTGAACTGGTATGAACATATCAGTCATGTTACCAAATCTCTAACAAGCATAATTTATTTAATTCGCAATTTAAAACACTCGGTTTCACTAAACGTCCTGTTGACCAGTTACCATGGGTACTTTCATAGCAAAATGACATACGCCCTTCTGGCGTGGGGCCACTCTCCCCACATGTACAGAGTATTTGCCCTACAGAGAAGATGTATCCGATATATATAAATCCAAAGATCTGAGTATATCAAACTAAAGATCATGACTTTGCCTGGCACATATATATTGAGCTGCCTCTTGCATGTCAAGTCAAATCCTGACCTTTATACAAGCCACCATGAAACTCATTCATATAATACCCGGCACCGCGACAACTTGTACCCAAAACAACATAGACTTGCTAAAACAAGGAATGGAGTAACTACCATGGCGTAACATTTTATAATATTTTACCTAAGGAACTAAGATCACTAGCATATAATGAATTCAGTAATGCTGTGAAAAAATTGCTCTTGTCGGCTGCTTTTTTCAGCATTGACGAGTTCCTCAACCACCACTTCTCCACGGATACTCAATAGTTATATTTCAAGCTACATTTCCTTTTTTTGCTACTTATTCGAACCATGTATAAAATATTTATTTCAGTTCTATCTCTTATGCGATTTATGTATTGATTTTAACGTAGTTTGTAATAATTTTATCTTTTATACTTTTATTGTCATCCTCTTAACCATATTTAAGTGTGAGTAATCTGTACTGTTTGTTATTATATGTATGGTATGTCATTTATTTTCTTCTTGTAACTGAGCGCTTCTATTATATTGACTTGTGTAAGCACGTTCTGTGCAATAGCACCAATAAACCATTATTATTATTATTATTATTAAGGATCTGTTAGTCCTTCTAGAAACTTCTCTTATCGATAGACCGGCTTCACGCAACCCCTTCAATTCTACCCTTCTCAAAGTCACTTAGCTAGGTCACCCGGTGATTTCTAGGGACTCTAGGCATTTTGAGCAATCACAAAAAGGCTTCTCAATAAGCTACACGAAATTTAACATTTAACTGAAACCATAAATGTACGAAAATGCTTCTTTATCACCAAACAATGCACGAAGCCACCACAAAAACTTAACAGAGAAACCTGACCCTTTTATCACTTGTTGTCCATGGCAAGATAAATCGATATGTAAAAATTCTAGAATTCTAATAAACATACGTAGGTGCTTACCTTTTTTTATCACTCAGTATAACTAAATGGAAAAGACTAGCGTAACGATTCATGTGCCACGCTACGGCGCTATGTCTTTGTTGTACAACTGTGAGCGAGTCCAAAGACCTACCGTATAAACAGTGGCGGACGGTTCATTATGATGCTCTCCTTCATTTGACTATCCCAATATAGCTAACTTAAAGAGGAGCAATGTTTTCTCCAGTATTAGTATCTCATTTGATCGTACACCTCGACAGATCTTGCATTATGAAAAACTGAAACACTGAAACAGATGGAGGAACGCTCTGCAAGAGGCGAAGACGGCTTGAAGATCAAGTACTTTCGTGGAGTCCCTAGAATCGTTTCGGAAAACTAGGGAAGCTCAACAAAAATATTCCTATGCGCTGTTGTTTCCAAAACTTGCACGGACTGAATACCAAACTCAATGAATTTTATTCGGCAATTTTGTCTTCTGATTATGATTTTGTAGGACTTGCCGAAACTTGGTTGTGTAGTGATCTGAGAAATTCGGAAGTATTTCCTCCGGAGTATATTGTCTACCGTTGTGACAGCGATTTCTTAAGAACAAACACTTCATGCGGAGGAGGGGTTTTGCTAGCATGTAAAGATATGTTTAATGTTGAGTTAGTTAATCTTGAGCACATTCGCAATGAAATTTGCTTGATCGATATTCTAGGTGTCAAGTGTAGTATAGGATTTAATTCGGTATTTATATATACTAAGTGACATATAAATCCGAACACCCAGTTTAAATGGTTTTATTTTAATAAAAGTTGGTGAATGTATTTATCTTACTGTAAATAACAAGTGAAAAAATTTTCAGCCTTATCAGTTGGACATTCCGGTTTTTAAACTGCTTTTTTTTAATTCACTAACGCTCTAAAAATGAATATTTCAGCCGCAGTAAAGGATCAACGTTGGCGGATTTTGGTTCTTGACATCCTTTATGATCGGTTACGATGCCTAGAGTACGGAGACCTGTACGATTTCGTCAACTTAGTGAGTTTGATAGGGGTCGTATAGTGGGACTTCGGGAAGCTGGACTTTCTTTTCGGGCAATTGCAGTTAGAGTGCAAAGAAGTGTAGACACTGTGGTTAGGTGTTGTCAGGCATTGCTTCGAGAAGGCCGTACGCAAAGAGCAAGGGGCACTGGACGCCGCCGTAGAACAACAGACCGTGAAGATCGCCGCCTAAGATTATTGGCCTTAAGGGACCGTTTCTCCACTACCAGGTCCATTGCATATGAATGGTTTGCAGAACACGAAAGACCTATTGGCATGCGAAGTGTTTACCGACGAATGACAAGTTTTGGCTTGTTTTCATACCGGCCACACTGGGTCCTCTCTTTAACTCGAGAACACCGACGTAATCGCCTTGAGTGGTGCAGACAACCGTCACTCTGGGATCAGGAATGGAACAGTATTGACTTTAGTGACGAGTCTCGATTTTGTTTAGGCATGCACGATGGTCGTGCCAGGGTTAGAAGGCGACGTGGTGAAAGGAGGAATCCACAGTTTTTTGTTGAAAGACATGTTCATCACACTGTTGGAGTTATGGTTTGGGGTGCTATAGCTTATGGTTCCAAGTCACCTTTAATCTTCATCAGAGGTTACATGAACGCGCAGCGTTATATCCACGAAGTTCTAGAACCCCATCTTCTACCGTATCTTGACACCCTGGCAGATCCAACTTTCCAACAAGATAATGCCCGACCACATGTTGCAAGAGTCACAATAGACTTCTTTCAACATAATGATGTCACATTGTTACCATGGCCACCAAGATCTCCCGACTTATCTCCAATTGAGCACGTGGGGATATGATGGGTAGGAGATTGCTCAGTTTGCAACGTCCTCATCAGACTCTAGAAGCACTTCGAGAGGAGTTGGTGGTTGCCTGGAATGAGATACCACAGGAGGACATTGACCACCTGATCAGAAGCATGCCTAGGCGCGTTGGAGAATGCGTAGCACATCAGGGTGCATCCACACATTATTAAAGGTCAAAGGGCTTTAAAGCAGTGCAATCATTTATCATTTACTTATTATGCTTCATTAAGTACTTATACAAAATTTTATTAAAATAAAACCATTTAAACTGGGTGTTCGGATTTATATGTCACTTAGTATATATGTCCTGTATGTACCACCACAAGTAACATTTGTAGACTTTGGAATTATTTTCAAAAACTACAATAAGTCAGTTAAATGTCCTAATTATAGGAGATTTCAATGTAACACATTTTGTTGATAATACAAATGTTGATAGACATTCGACTGTACTAAACAGAATTTTGGAATCTTCAGGTCTTTCTCAACCCAATACTATTTTGAATGACCTGCGATAACTTGATAATTTGCCGTTAGTCAAGGAAGATTTGTATCATCCTTCTCTATTTGTAGTTTGTGAAACTAAATTCAACGTGACTCTTAATTTTGACATGAATGTAGCAACTCCAACGTACAACTTCAGGAAAGCTAATTTCATTGGCCTTCACAATGCCTTGACTTACATTGATTGGTCTTTTTTGGACAACGTGGAGGACTTCAGCATTTTGGTTTCAGCAATCATTTATTAGATTTCATTTCTTCTTACTTGCGTGATAGAAATCAGTACGTTTCTTACAATAGTTTCATATCTTCACCTTACTCGGCCTCATGCGGTGTACCGCAGGGATCAAATTTAGGCCCCCTTCACTTTCTTTATTTTATCAATGACCTCCCTAACTGCTTAACCTGTCCTTCTCGGTTGTTTGCCGATGATTTAAAAATATATGCTCAGATTAACAGCATTGATGACTGTCTAATCTTGCAAGCTGACCTGAATCATATATTTGAATGATGTTCAACTAATAAATTATTTTTGAATGTTAGCAAATGCAAACCTGTTCTTTTACTAGGAAAACGAGAAGGTGTCAGTTTGATGCGTTGTTCAGAAGTAAAAGACCTAAGTGTGTTGTTTGATGTTAAATTAGAATTTACAGGTCATATTGGTACAATAGTATCATCCGCTATAAAAAGCCTCGGTTTTTTTATAAGAAACTGTAAATCGTTTGGTAGTGAAACGGCACTGAAGGCTTTATACTGCACCTTGGTGCGTTCTAAGCTGGAATATGCATCTAGTGTATGGCACCCATATTACCAAATCTATACTAATGAAATTGAGGAGATTTCTTAAATACTTGACTTTCAAATTAGATGGTGTTTATCTCAATCGTGGGACTCCCCAATCAGCGATGTTGCTCAGATTTGAAAAGCATCCTCTTGAGCTGAGAAGAGTTTGTAATAGTTTAAAATTCCTTTACAAACTCGTACACAGTCATGC